GTTTTTTTCTTTTTTTTTTTTTTTTTTTTTGGCATGGGGGTTGAATCCAAGGCATTTGCACTGAGCCTCAACCTCAGCCCTTTAAATAAATTTTTTAACTTTTGATAACAGGGTCTCATTAAGTTGCTGAGTTGCCCAGCCTGGGCTCAAACTTGCAGTTCTCCTGCCTCAGTCTCCCAGAGTGCTGTGATTCCAAGTGTGTACCACCAAGCCTGGGTCAAACTACTATTTATTATGTCAAGTGATTTTTAATAAAAAATGCCGGAGTAGTTCAATGGAAAAACATTAGTCTTCAAACAGTGTGTGCAAAAACTATATATTTATATGCAAAAAACATGAATTAAAAATGAATCGTACACTTTAATATAAAACTTCTGAAAGGAAATCTTTGTGACCACAGATTAGGCAAGTATTTATTTCTTAGAGGTATCACAAGATAATCATGACCCATTTAAAAGGTTAATAAATTGAACCCCATCAAAGGTCAAACTCTGACTGTTCAAAAGATATCACTGCAAGAATTAAAAGACAAGTCAAACCCTAAGAGTAAGTCTTTCTTTCTTTTTTTGGTATCGGGGATCAAACTCGGGACCTTACACTTGCGAGGCAGGCAGCTGCACCACTGAGCTAAATCCCCAGACCCTCTAAGCGTAAGCCTGTCCTACATATCTGTATGTTATAAATCCACTGATTCAACCAACATTGAAAATATTCGGGAAAAAAAACTCTATCTGTACTAAATATATAGGTACTTTGTTGTCATGTCAAACAGACCCGAACAATACCGTGTTCTGAGGCATTTACGTTGTGTTACGTATTATACATAATCTAGACACTTTGATGTAAAATACATGGCAGAATGTGTGGAGGTTATATGCAAATGCTACACCATTTCATATCCGGAACTTGAGCACCAATGGATTTCCATATGGATCTTGGGGCAGATTGCCCTCAGATACTGAGGGCTGACTGTGTCTGTAAGGACGTTTTCCCCAGATCATATAAAAAGCTTATGATTCAATAAAACAACTGAATGAAAACAGGAAAAATACCTGAGCAAGTATTTACTAAAGAAAATGTGAGAAGAAAATATGTATACATGAAAAGATGCTCAACTGAATTAGTCCTGGGCAAAACCTACCCAAATAGCTTAATCTAAGGTGGGACCCTCAGACAATGCTGGGTGGAATGTGGAATGGCACACTACCTTTGGGAAACAATCTGACCGTTTCCCAGAAAGCAAATGACACTGAAAACCCAGCAATTTCATTCCTAGGCTTTGTCCTGAGAAGAATGAAAACAAATCCACACAAACACTTGTACATGAATGTTCAAGTGGCAAAATTCAAACACTGGAAACATTCTACATGCCCAACAACCAGTGAACGGATAAAGAAAATGTGATTTATCTGTATAGTGGGATATTATTTTGAGATAAAAATGGGCAACTGATGTTTACTATACCATAAATGAACCTTTAAAACATTATGCTAGCGGGACATAGTGGCACACGCCTACAATCCCAGCACTCAGAAGGCTGAGGCAGAAGGACTGTGAGTTTTAAGGCCAGCCCAGACTATACAGCAAGATCCTGTCTCAAAAACAAGCAAACTAACAAAAATTATGCTAGACTCAAAAGACTACACATTGCATGATTCTGTTTCTACAAAATATTCAGAAAAGATAAATCTAGAGACTGAAGTAATAGGGCTGAGGTAATCCAGGGCTCAGTAATAGAGTAGAAACTACCAAGAGATACGAGACAGAAATATTCTAAAACCTGAGCGGACAAAATCCAACACTCACTCACTGTGATCACTAACTGTGATATATCAACTCCAGTAGAGGAAGAACAGTCTATAGATTAGTAAGTTCTGGGTGTGTCTGTGAGTGCCTGAAATGTAGGCCAGCAAACTGAGGAGGGGTGCTTATATCCACCCTGGATGTGAGCAGCACCAATTAACAGGCCTACAGCTTGGACAGAACAAAAAGGGGAAAAAGGAAGTGTCCTTTTCTTGGAGGAACTCACTTCTGCCATTGCCTTTGGACACTGGTCTCCAGTTTCCTTACCCTTCCTTCCAGCACAGATTTCAGACTCTTTGTCTTTCTAGCACAGACTTACACTGATGACTCTGCAGTGAGCTTCCAGGTCATTGCTCCTCGACTGCTACAGGATAAAACAAGAGCTTCCAGCTCTCTAGTGAGCAGGCAACCATTTCGAATCCTGCCATCTCTGATCTGGCAGCCACTGGGACTCTTCCATCTCTGATCCTGTAAGATTATCTAATAAATCCCTATCTGTTCCTCTAGAGAACCTAACTAATACGGATTCTGGTACCAGGAGTGGGGTTGTTGCTGTGACTTCTTGACCACATGGTTCAGAAGCCTTTGTAACTGGTTTGTGGGAAGAGATAGAAAGAAGACCTAGAATGTGTCAGCTGAGCTTGATGGGAGATTCTGATCAGAGCCACAGAGACCAAAATGTAGACAGTAAAGGCCAGGTTCAGGAGGTTTATGTTGGGAGAAAGAACTCAACTGGCAGCTGAACTCAAGACCATGTGTGTTAGCTCTGGCAGAAAAATCTGCCTACATTTGGCTCATGTCCTGAGACTTTGCAGGAGACTAAGATTAAGGGCAGCAAATTAATCTGGTAAAGAAAATTTCAAGGCAGCTTGAATATTCAGGCTGTAGCATTGGTAATAGTGGCTGCTTTTAGCAAGCTCTACTGTGAAAATCAGAAGCATGAAAGCTAATGTAAAAAGTTTTTAGTTTTGTCAAAAGGGAAGTGCCCGCAAAGTGGGAACAAGAAGAACACTGTTAAGATTTTTTTAATTTAAATTTTTATTAGTACATGTTTGCAATATCTAATGATTGTATTCATCATGAGGAGTTGGTACCTGTACATTAACACATCTGAATTCTTTTTATGTCTCCTTCTCCTTGTTGCTGAAAGATTAGCATTAACAGAAGTCAAGAACTGCATGGAGAGCTGGGGATTTAGCTCAGGGGCACTTCAGTGGCTACCTCAACAGCACAAGGTCCTGAGTTCAATCCCCAGTACTGGAAAAAAAAAACTGTAAGGAGACAATAGAAAAGATGGTATGAGAGCATCTCATGAATCAGCATTACTGCTTTTTGGAAGCTGAAGGGTGCAAGTGAAAGTCTCTGCTTTGAGCAGAGAGCACTAGGGCACCCTGCTCCACAAAGGCTGCCTTGGAAATTGGTTCCCCATGATTCATTTCATAGTGCTCTGCCACTAAGGTGCTCAGAGGCCTCTTTAGCCATGATCCAAGGGGATCTGGATACTTCTTCAGCTGGTGGTAGACCTTGGTGTCGTCCACAGGTGATGGTTTTACATGCATGCAGAATGCAAGAGTTGTGGAATCAAGAAGGATTCCAACCAGCGTTTACAAGAAGGCCTAGGAGGCAAGGAGTGTGGCCCTGAGAAGATGGTGTGTGCAGTTGTGACACTGAAACCAAAGGCAGAGCGGAGACCCCAGATATTATTTTCAACAAAAAGTGTTGGACTGGCTGAACCACAGCCAGCACCACCACCAAACCTGTCCCCAAATTAACTTGGACTTAACCCTTGCAGCTTAACAAAAATGAACTCAAATGGATTAGACTTAACTATAAAACATGAAACTATAAAACCATTAGGAAGAAAAGGAAACAAGAAGAATCTCTTTGGGATCTTGAGCTAGCTGCAAAGTTCTTACACATCACATCAAGAGTAGAGTCTATGAAAGGGAAAATAAATAAATTAGTATTCATTAACATCTAAAACCTTTTCTCTATGAAACAATCTGTGAAGAAGATGAAAAAGTCAGCTAGAGATTGAGAGAAAATATTTGAAAACCATATATCCAATGAAGGATTTATATCTAGAACATATCAAAAACTCAAACTCAAAAGTTAAAAAAGCTAATTAGAACATTGGCAAAAGACACAGAGAGATTTTTCACCAAAGATACACAGATAGCAAAAAGGCATACAAAAAGATGTCTGACATCATTTGCTACTAGGCAGATGCAAACTAAAACCACAAAACATCTATCAGGATCACTAAAATAAGAAGCCAGAGATGATGATGCATGCCCCTAGTCCCAGCCACGGGGGAAGTTGAGGCAGGAGGGTCTACTGAGCCCTGGAGTTGAAAATCAGCCTGGAGAACATGGTGAGACTCATCTTCAAGTAGAAAAACAAATGCCAAAATAAAATACAGTGATGACACAACATGGCAGTTAGGGTATGGAGAAGGTAGATCATCCCCATATCACTAGAACAAACGCAGAATGGGACCGTCACTCTGGAGAACAGCCTGGCAATGTCTTGTATCAGTTACCACTTTGAGGTCACCCTTGCCATCCATAGTTCCGCACGCACTGATTGCTCTCTCTTTTCTACTGCCGTCAGTATCCTGTGGTGTAGGTCTGTCAGTTTATTTAGCCATCTTCTCTTGAAGAACATCCAGATCGTTTCCAGTTTTTTGCTGCCACTAAAAAGGTGTTATGAACACCTACTTGTGTGAATACATTTCATTCCTCTGAATAAATGCCTGAGAATGCAATTGTTGGGTTGTATAGCATGGTAAAAAATAAAAATAAAAAACTGTATGCACTATGAACACAGGTGCGGATATACACACAAGTGAGTGCATACAAAAGCAATACAATACAAAAACGTCTGGCTAAAATTTGTGAGCTTGAATAAACCTTCGGGATTGTACCAATGCCAATTTTTGACTTTTCTATAGTTATGGAAGCTCTCACTTAGGGATGTTGGGTGGAGGGTACCGGAAACCTCCCTGAGCTTCCTGCAATTCTGCAATTGCTGTGAATCTGTAAGGATTTAAAAATGTTTTGTTGGCACTGACCTTGGGCCTCACATACACTAGGCAAGCACTGTGCCACTACAGTACTACGTATCTCCAGCTCCCTCAAAAACACGTCAACAACAACAACAACAAAAGCAAAGTGCACAGGGATAACTGTACAGCTGTACAGACTTTCTAAAAATTATCAAATTTACAAAAGAATTTGGTCATATATAAAATATACCTCAACAAGGCTGCTGTAAAGAAGCAATATTCAAGCCTGGGAATTTCCCTATTCGAAGTGAACACTCATACACAACAGGGTGTCAAGCACAAAGCTTTCAAGTTTCCTTCAAAACCTATAGTTCCTTTCTGATTTTGGTTAAACTATAAGTTGATTTTTCCTTTAAAAGTTTCTTGAAACATGATACTAATGCTGGCAACAACTCCCTTTTATTATCATAAAAGTAGGGATTCTTTCCTAACAAATCAAAATACAGAAAATAAAAATACAGATAGCAAAACACAGGCAGCTGACACCCAGCTGGTCAGCCCAGTGAAAGGCGCAGGGCACCAGAGAGAGCACAGGCCTGGTGAGCTCCGGACGCAGGTCCCCAGAGAGGAGGCAGGGAGGCCTACCGCCTGCGAGGTCCGGCCAGCACGGAAATGCTCCTGGCGCGGACACTGAAGAAAAGTGTCAAAGCTTCGAGTGGCAGCCAAGTCCTTCAGAATCACCCAGTGCCCTGGGACAGCTGCGCCCTTGCCATGCAGGTCCTTTCTTCCCAGGGTTCAGAGGCAGCTCCTGCCAGGATCTTTCCTGGGCAGCTCCGCACACCAGGAGCGCACATCCAGTCCTGACTCGCCACCGACCGACCCAGCTCGGGCGCAAGGGGGAGAGGAATCAGCTCCACCACAGCCGCGGACGGAGCCCCTGCCGCACTGAAGTGTCGACTGCACACGGGCCTACGGCACACGCTGGCCTCCTCTCTCTTGGCCTCCCCGGACACGAAGTGGACGTGTGGACTGGCAGTGCTCGGGGCCAGGACCCCAGCTCCTCAAGTCTAAAATGAGCTTCCAGGGTCCCGCCCAGGATCCGTGCAGGCCTGGACAGGGACCACAGCCGGGGCTCCGGCAACCCCTGCCGCCCGAGAAAGGGCCTCGCCGCAGCCAGCTGCAGGGGCTTCATCTGCAGCACCCGGCAGCCGGCGGCAGAGGAAACCTGACCGGAAGGCAGGGTAGGCAAACGCCCGGTTCTAACCGCGGTCAGTATCGGCGATACTAGCACGCATGGCCATTTCACCCTTCCCCACCGGCACTTCCCGGCGTGGCTTATTTTTAAGCATTACATCTACAATGTCAGTAAAGCATCTACTTCCCTTTGCCTACTAGTTTAAAAAAAAGGAAATCTAAAATTCTGTTCACTATAAGCTTCAATTTTAAAAATGTCTTAGCAATTTAAGGAAGGACAGAGTTGATGGGTTGGTCGCATTTGTCACGTCTGGCTGCAGGCCAAATTCTTCCAGACCACGGGGTGTTTAGTCTGAAGGCACCCAGACGACCGTTTTTGTTTGTTATGAGCCAGACTAACTGCGGCAACACTGTTTCACCTTGAAGTAGGTGGTGCTCCACTGACCCCAGGCTGCAGGCTGCAGCTCCTCCGGTGTAACCTCCTGCAGACGCTGCTTGCACGTGAAGCCGCAGCAAGCCCGGACCAGGCCCTGAGCCCGGAGCCCTGAGCCCTCCACCCTCCACCGGGAGGACTTGCCGGGGCGCCGGGACAGCACTGTGCCACCTGCCAGCACACAGCAGACTCCAGCACACACTAGCGGCTTTATTGTTATTAAAAAATAGAAATATACAAGCCCTTCAGGTTTTTTTTTTTTTAATATGGGAGTTCGAACACAGGGCCATTACACTGAGCTACATCCCCAGCCCCTTTATTTTTTATTTTGAGACAGAGTCTCACTAACTTGCCCAGGCTGGGTTCAAATTTGCAACCCTCCTGCCTCAGCTGCCGTGGTCACAGGTATGCACCATCATGCCTGGCATGGGTGCCAAACTTTGCAAGTAGCAGAATAGTGGGTGCAGTTTTTGTTGTTTTGTTTTGTTTTGCAGTACCAGGGATCGAACTCACGCCCTTGCATTTGCGAGATGGTGATGCCACTGAGCTAAATCCCCTGCCCTACATGCAGTTTTATGGAAGTGGAGAGGAAACAATTTGCCACCCAAAATAAAAAACATTTCAAAGAAATAGTCTCTCCTAATATTGAAATAAAATATAATCAGTTCTTTCTAAAATGTCAGTAAGTAAAACCCAAATTACACACACTTCTGATTCAATGTTATCTAGCTTCTTGCTCCAATATAAGTCACTATGTATACAATATTTTCCCCCAGATTCTTATCTTATTATGAGTGGTGTGAGCCTTTATGTTTTGGAAAGAAATTTTTTAAATATGAAAATTAAAATGCACCAAATGAACCATCTGCACGCTGAATGATTACAAAATTGCACTGCTGTCCCACCCCCACCCATGCAGCGTAGGCACATTTAATTTAACGGCACCGTCTCCTGAGGACGGGAGGTGTGGGAGCAGCGGCTCGGGAGGCCGAAGGGCGGCACACCGACAGGCTCCCTGCACACAGCACCTACCTTCTGCTCCCTCCCGCTGTCCGCCTGCAAGCTCTCCAGCCGGGCTTTGAAATGCTCGCGGTCCAGTTTCAGCTGCTCCAATTCTCCTTCCTGCACTTCCAAGTCTACAAGAGAGACAGAACAAGACCTGAGAAGGCGTAAAGCACAAATGTCCTCCAGGCGTCTGTTTACCCTCTCAGTACAGACCAGACTGACTTCACAGGTCAGAATGTTCCTGTCCGATTCTAACTGTCCTTCAACAACCAATACCCTGAACCCTTTCTCTTGTTCCTATCAGTTTTTAGCCCAGAGCAGAAAAGCCTTTCGGTGCTGTGCTTTGTGTTTGGATGGCCTCCTTTTACTGCCAAATGTATACTCAAGACTTCAAGAACGTGTTATTTAAAGGCTGAAGGCAGAGCTGAGGCCCTTGACTCTCTCGTGGCACAGACTGGCATCTGCTTTGTGAGAGGCAGAAGGCAGCTTGTGCGGGGACGCTGCCAGGGGGCTGATGCACAGCGCGAGTCCCACGGCCTGGCAGACGGCTCAATGGGACAACTGCAGAGCAGTCCCCAAGGAGGCAGCCACCGAGCCCAAGATGACAGGATGCCACGGGGAGGGAGAGGAACCACGCGTACTGCCTCCTCTCCACTCCACTCATGACTGAATGAGTCAAACGGCCAACAAACTCCCGGAGGCAGCCACATGAATAAATCAGAGTATTACCAGCCTTAAATACCGTGCTGCAGGGTACCAGTGCTCAACAAATCGAGGCTGGGGCTGGGGATGTAGCTCAGTGATGTAGTGCTTATTCTCTAGAGCCAAGAAATCATCCACCTTGTGCCATATAACCACAGAAAGCAAGGTCTAGGGGACCCAGCGCTACGAGCCAACAGTGTTACTCCCTCACCGGGACAGGCTCCCTAAGTGTAGTGTGCACCAGGGTTGCCTGCAGGATGTGGGCCCCATCCACACAGTTCCGGCTTCCACACACCTGGGCTGGGCCTGGAAACTGACACTCCTGACATGTTCTCAGGTGAGGCCACCGCCAGTCTGAGAACCACCACTGAGGACAGTCCCTTCTCTCATCACCAGCTCAACGAAGGGCGCACCCTGGCCCAGACCAGCGCCAGCCAGGGAGAGAGCCCAGCTACAGTGCCGTGGAGGTGACAGGGACCAGCAGGCTGTGATGAGGGCCAGGGCTTCAAGAGCAGACGCCTGCAAAACAGAACCTTACTTGTCCCTCCAGGAGGAAAAGCTACCAAAGTGCAAATCAGAAGGGGTGGGCTGCACACCTAGGGCCTGAGGAGGCAGCAGGAAGCCCACATAAGCAACCTGGAGGACGGCTTGGAACTGCATGGTGTGCCCAACGCTGACAGAAGAAACCAAAGGAGTCTCTGAAGTTCTGGAGACCCTGCCCCCAAAGGAAGAGCAGATCCTAAGTCAATAACCAGTCCACCTAGAAATTATGAAACTGCCTGGCAAAAACTTCCCTTAGAACACGTTCCTTAGGAACCAGAGTGGCCAGTGCTACGACATGACTTACCAGAATGATTTTGTTCCACTAATCTTGACCTAAGAAAGAACTATCAGTGGAGCGCTGTACTTTTACAACTATTTAAACTATACGGTTGCATATTGGTAACAGTGTGAAATTCACACATACGCACATATATTATAATCATACATGAAACATGTGCCATACACAGTCACAGACCAAAAAAAATGAAGAGGGAGCTAAAATAAAACTCTCAGTGGTTTATGCATGCGTGGGGACACACATCTGTAACCCCAACACTGGAGGGAGGGCCGAGGCAGAAGGGTCGAAAATTCAAGACCAGCCTGAGTGACTTAGTGACCTAGTCAGACCCATTCTCAAATTAAAAAAAGGTTTGAGGATGCAGCCCTGTGCAAAAGCCCTGGGTTCAATCTCCAATGCAAATACAGAGATGTAGCTACAGGCACAGATATAGGTATCAGTGGTTTAAAATTTTCTTTGCAGTTAACTCTTCAAATGTGCCTCTATTATTATTAACCTATGTATTACCTGGAGATGGTAAAGAAAGAAAATTGTACCTCTACAATCCCTAGCATGTACTTCAGGAATTTGGGCCACCCAAAAGACACCTGCACTATGGTAATTCCACGCTCTCCTGCTGTGTAGGGACCTTACTGTGGGTTAAACAGCAAAGCAACAGGGTCAGAGCAAAGCTCTCATCAACAGGCAAACCCATAAAACTCCAGGTCAGCTGTGAAGGAGGCCACACCACCCACCCCAGAGCCTCGAGGGCACAGGTGCCTTTTCGCTGTGTGAGGCTGCCACCTTGTGGCCATAAAAGAGTATTGCTGCGGCCTCACTCTCACCATGTCATGGCTTGCTACCTGCCACCACGTGGACAGAGATCTTCCCCCGTCTGTTGTATGCTGCACCCCATGTGCCTAAAAACGTATGTGGAACATTCTAGACATCTGTCACAGTAACAAACTTCACTTCTTTATATTTCCTCCTCCTTCCTGAACAGAGGAAAACACGGGGCTGGACTTCGGTTTTCTACAGGTCTCATTCTTCTGTAAGGAGGACGTATTGCTTCTGCAGTTTTTAGAAACCCAGGGGCAGAAATCCTGCCGGTGGTGAATGACATACCGGTCAGGACGCTGTCCCACTGGGGACTGGCGACAACTGTGAACGCTTAGCACTCAAGGTGAAGGTGACTCAGCCTGCGGAGGGAATGCGGGGCGGGGAGGCCTGGACAGACAAGACACACAGAAACCACCAGGCCACGTGCTACTTCAAGATCTAGGGATCTCAGACTACGGCTCTCTTCTGGTAAGTTTTCAGTAACATGAGGACGACTGTTCTCTTTTAATGCTCATTTTATTCATGGGAGGCTCAAAGAGCTGTAAATGAAAAGAACAATTCCTACAACAGTACTCAAATGAAATTCAGACCATACAGAAGGGATTGATTTCTCCTACCCTTTATTACCTGCACGTTTATAACAAATGATCTTCTATATTTTTATTTTTATTTAAAAAAATTTTTTTTTTTATTTTTTGGTATTTTGAGACAGGGTCTCACTATCTAGTTGAGACTGCCCTGGAACTCACTGTGTAACCCAAGCTGGTCTCAAACTCGCAGCGATCCTCCTGCCTCAGCCTCCCAAGTGCTGGGATTACAGGCATGTGCCACCACGCCCAGCTCATCCACTATCTTATATGAAAATGTGTTTTTGGTCAGAATGACTAAGAGGCACAAAACCAAAACACAGGCTCTTTAACAGCCACTCTTTTACCTTCTTCTCCCTCTCTGACAGGCTCCTAACAGAATTCAGAGCCTGCTACTGGTAGGCTCCCTCTGTGCTCAAGCTGAGACCTGAGTGGTTTATTAGTTGCGGGGGCTGCAGTAACCTCCACAGATTGGATGGCTTAGAACAACAGAAATGTCTTGACTCACTGGTCTGGAGGCTACAAATCCAAAACTGAGGGGTCGGCAGGGCCACACCTATGAAATCCGAGAGGGCCCTTCCTCGTCTCTTCCATCTTCTGGTAGACCCAGCTATCCCTTGTTTATGGCAGCGCCTTTCTGGCCTCTGCGCACACCTTCACGTGGCCACCCCATGACCACACATGCATCTATGGCCCAAATTTCCCTTTCAGGAACATACCGGAGTAAGGCCCACCAGGGTGGCCTCATTTTAACTTCATCACCCCTGTGTAGCCCCAACTTCCGGAGAGGGTCCCACTGTGTGGAAGTGGGGCCTAGGCGTCAACACATCCTCTGGGGGGAATTCATGGGCTGCAGGACCGGCCAAGGTGGGACTTGAGTCCCAGTCTCCCAAAGCACAGGGCCCTTCTCCAGGACGATCCTGCATCCTCCAAGGTCCCCACGAACAGTGCTGTCTTGTGTTTTCATGGGAGCACTCTGCACCTGAGCATGCCTTCCTGCTTGGTAAACTCCAGAGATCACCTCGGGACAGTTTTCACAGTTTCAAAATATATTGAAAATTAGAACATTCCGAATTCATTTTTTAAAATATGTTATTTAAAAGTTTAAATGTATTTGAAACACTAGTGCTCATTCTAAACTAAATACTTTAATTAGCTGTCAACTTTTTTTTTTTATTTTTTGGTACCGGGGATTGAACTCGGGTCCTTGTGCTTGCAAGGCAGGTCACCAAACCACTGAGCTAAATCCCCAGCCCCAGCATCAATTTTTAAACAAACCAACATTAGAAGCTTTCCTTTTCTGCACTGACAAAAATCTGCACCCAGAATCATTTATTGCTCTAACATGAAGACCACTGGTATCACCTTTTATAAAATGAGGAAAATGCGTGACTAAACAGAATCTGTCCCACACTGGCACTGCCAATGAGTGTGGCACTGGCTGGCGGCACTCTTCATACGTGAATGATGAGGTTCCAGCCTACCTGGGAACAGCCAAGGGAAGGGATCAAATCTTAGCCTTCTTATTTCCACATCATGCAGTTGTCTGACAGATACCAGGCTCACCTGGTAATAAACGCTCGCCTGACTGACTGATCAACTTGAAAATGAATTCCATGACAACAACAAAGAAACCTAAAACGGATCTTACTGAACTCAAACGAAGCCTGCTGAAGTCTGGCCAAAGCAGAGTCACAGAACTCTGCATCACGTACGGACACACAGGCGTGGTGTGAACGGCTGGGCGGTCAGGGTGATACTGAAGCCCTGCACATCCCAGGCCTCTCCATCCTGGTGACCGTCCACCTCCTCTTTCCACAGGCCCCTCTCTACTTCCTCCTTCACGGGCCCTGCGCGTGCACTCTCCACGGGCTCTGGCTCACTGCAACTGGCCTTCCCTGTCGCCTGGCTTCCTGCTGGGTGCGGCGGTGGGAGACCCTAGGGGACAGGGAGGACCGAGGAAGAGAGGCCGAGACACCAGCCCCTCGCCACGTGCCCCTTCTGCCGAGCGGTGGTGCTGCCAGGCACCTCCCCACATGGCACGCTGCTGCCCTGCTCCTCCAGGTCCTGGGGGCCAGTGCTCCCCTGCTGCTGGCTCCTGAGCACTCCCCTCTTTACCTGCCTATTCCCTGTCCTCTCGTCACAGCTCCACTCCTGTGTCCGGTCAGATCTCATCTCGGCC